ACAACAGTTATCAAGCAAGTATCGGCATGCCTCCATATGAGGCATTGTATGGGAGGAAATGCAGAACACCGTTGTGTTGGGACGAGGTTGGCGAGGCCAAACTCGAAGGGATAGAGCTGGTTGAGATCACCAAGGCCAAGGTAAGGATCATTCGGGATAGATTGAAGGCTGCTCAGGACCGACAGAAGAGTTATGCTGATAAACGGCGGAGACCGTTGGAGTTCGAAGTCGGTGATGAGGTCTTCCTAAGGGTTTCTCCTTGGAAGGGCATCATTCGATTTGTATCGAGGGGAAAGCTTAACCCCCGATACATTGGTCCATTTGAGATCCTTGAAAGGATTGGAGCCGTGGCTTATCGTCTCAAGTTGACGCCTGAACTTGAGAAGATACATGATGTGTTTCATGTATCAATGCTCAAGAAGTACATACGAGACCCATCTCATATTCTTGAGAGACCACCGGTAGAGATCCGTGAGGACTTGCAATATGCGGTGGAACCAGTGAAGATTGTTGGTCAACAAGTGAAGAAGCTTAGGAATAAGGAGATTCCAATGGTAAAGGTTCTTTGGAGGAGTGATCGAGTCGAAGAAGAAACTTGGGAGACCGAGATCTCAATGAGGGAGCAATACCCATTTCTTTTCGATTAGATACTTGGATTTCGGGGACGAAATCCCAAATAAGGGGGGGTGAACTTGTAACACCGTCCCCAAATATATTTACTTTTGTGTAAATAATGTATTGAACCTTATCAAAGGATTAATGAATTTACGAAGTTGTAAATTTTTATTATTTTTTTCGCGTGAATAGTAAATTGCACGTGGGACCCACACCGGGAGCGGGGGCCGCCCGACACTCCCGAGACCACATATTTTATTCATCTTGGTCAAGATAATATTTATATAGTGGTGGATATTTTATTTGGGTCGTGGAAAGGCGCAGGGTTTACCGATTGGGAAAAAGAGGCCCAATTACCGGTACCGACAATTTAACAGATAACAGCCCGAAAATGAGTTTCGGAGGCTTATAAATTAAAGTTGGGGAATGTATATTCATTATACATGTCATAATGAGTAAGAGCACATAATATATTTTATTTGACCCGATAAAATAAAATATATTTAAAACAGTCCGAAAAATACAACTTTCGGGGCCGATTGTACACATCGGGACTTAATGGGATGACCTCCCACAAGGGTGGGGGCCACCCCACGTTTTTGTGTGCCCAAAATAAACAAGGAGGTGGCTGAGTTGACAAAGGAAGGAGTGGAGGAGGTGCTTTTGGCATCTAAGGTACATGGAGGACCCCCCTCCCTCACTCATTTGTCAATTAAGACAAAAGTGAGACATCCCCTCTCCCTCCAACCATTGAGCTCGACCAAACCATCCAAGGGAGAGAGAAGGAGCTTCAAAATCACCTCCATTGCTGCAAATTTGAGCTCAAGCTTTAGTGCTCAAAGGAAGAAGATTAAAGAGGGAAAAAGTTGGGAAAAGTGTGAACAATTAAGGTAATGACCTTATATTAACTTTTCCTTTATTTTTCTTCCACCATATGAAGTATATATCATATGAAGAACCTTTAGTATGGTCCAATATGTTAGAAGTATGGATTTATGGGGTGGAAGATGGTTCTAAGTCCAAGAACGGACTTAGAAGCCAAAACGACCGGTTCACCGGAAAATAACCTTTTTGAGGTTATTTGTATTAATATGGGTTTTATGATTATAAAACCTTGTTAGGCACTTGTAAAGGGTATTTCAAGTGATTTCACAAAGTTGGAAAAAGTCGCCGGAGTTGTCGCCGGAGTTGACCAAGTCGCCGGAGTTTCACCGGAGTTCAACCAAGAAGGGTAGAACTTCTTAACGCTAGTTCAAGGTGAGTGGACGGCTTAATATCTTATAACTTTTGGGTTAATTATGAGATTACCTAAATAAATGTTATATGTGTTCATAATGATGTTTAAAAGATATTTAAGCATGTGATTAGCCAACATTATTAAGTTGTATGAAAAGAATTAGTTGTTTATGCATGAAATATGATATGAGGAATTATATAAAATGCACATTAGCTTGAAGTGTAAAAGAAGCACAAATGAGTATTTTTAACTTAATTATATGATGATTAAGTTGATATGTACAAGGCTTGAATTGGCGGTCAACGACAACGTTGACCGATGGATAATGGATTAATTAATATCGGTTGATATTAGTTAATTATATATTTATATAATTGCATGACTTTGCATGGATTGTGATACATAAGCTTTATGTATTGAATTAGTTATGAGTAACTAAGTATGATATAGACTCTATCTAGGTTGATAGAAGTTGATCATAGGAAAATATTTTGGTGGAGGACCCTAGTACTTAAAAGTACTTAACACTCAAAATTTGGTGGAGGACCCTAGGACTTAAAGTCCTTAACACTCGGATTATAAATTGGTGGAGGACCCTAGGACTTAAAAGTCCTTAACACTCGGATTATAAATTGGTGGAGGACCCTAGTACTTAAAGGTACTTAACACTCAAAATTTGGTGGAGGACCCTAGTACTTAAAAGTACTTAACACTCAAAACTTGGTGGAGGACCCTAGGACTTAAAAGTCCTTAACACTCAAAATTTGGTGGAGGACCCTAGTACTTAAAAGTACTTAACACTCAAAACTTGGTGGAGGACCCTAGGACTTATGAGTCCTTAACACTCACAAACCGGTGGAGTACCCAAGGATTATGATCCTCAAAACTCATAGATTATGATATTGAAATAGGGACAAGGAGGAGTCCTATACACTCATAGGTATATGGGTGGGTTGGGGTTTTTAGTCAAGAATATTGACTATTACTATTTTTCCCAAATAGAACGGTGATCTACGGATCGGATATTTTCCAAGTATATATATACTAATAAGTATTTCATAACTTGGGGGAAAGACTATTTATTTAAGTATCACCCTATGTTTGGGTCTTATACTTGAAACGCTAGTTATTCTATATTTAGCCTGCTACTCGCTCGGTACTTGTACTGACCCCTTCGGGGGGCCCCACCATTTTCAGGTTGAAGCTAGGGCTTGCTACTTGCACCTTCTCACGGGTGGTATCATATCGGGAAGACGCGGTTCGTGCTTCCTTATTTTCTTTCAAACTACCGAACACTTGCTCATGGATATTTGTTCTACTATAAACTATTTTTGGGGCTTGCATGCCCATGTTGTTGGCCGGTTGTGGCCTATGACTTACCGTTGAATATTTTCCGCTATTCATTGGTTTAAATGTGATGTTGTTATGTATGTTTACTACTGAATATGGATGGATTGTTTTCTCGAACGCCTTGTGTAATTGAGTGAGGTTGACTCGTGGGTGACGTCACTTAGTTATACGGCGGTTGTACACGCGCTTGGATTGCGGTCTGGGGCGTGACACTGAGAGTGGGCGGATGGCGCCTATTGGTCAAATCGGCGGCATGTAATGATGGCTTTTCAAACGGAGGCCCATACATCGAGGCCCATTTCCTATAAATACCCAAAGCCAGAGGTCATTCTCCTTGCGCGATTCTTGTGAGGCGAAGCTCTGTTGAAGTGATTTTTAGAGAGAGAAAGTGTTTTTCAATCAAACCCTAGAATTCGAGGTCAGTTCTTCACTTGGTTCTTTCATTCCTTAGCATATTTTGCCCTTTGCCAGCAAGATCTAGTGTTAGAGTCCTGTTAGGACATTAGATATTCCCTCTCTCCCGATTCTCTCGAAAGACAAGCGCCGAAGGATGTCTTCTGCCAGCGATTCACAAGACCTATCGAAGGAGGCCCCGGTGGAATCCGAGAGTATCTCGGACGTGGAGTCATCTAGCGTCCATGCCTCATCCCCAAATGACTCTGAAGTGGCGATGGCTGTACAAGATAAGCTGAGGACGGAGGCTGAAGCCGAAGAATTCGAGCAGGTAGCCGAGGATGAAGAAATGGCCCTCGCGCTCCAGGTGGCCGAAGAAGAGGAAGAGAAGGAGAGGCAAGAAGTCACAGTCGCTGTCCTCCCACTTCGTGGTGCCGGTGAAGCTAGCACCTCCCGGCCCCTAGATCCGGAACCCCTCAGTGTCGCCGTGGGGAAGAAGAGGAAAAAGACGAAGGCTGCACCGAAAGGCAAGCAAACCGCCGTTGATTGCGGGAAGCCTGTTGGAATTCCCGAGGGGCATTCATGGCTGAACACTGCCGCCCTCGCGCTGAGATCGAAGGCTGATCGGGCAGAATGCTATGTCACGCAGTTGCATGTCGGCCCCTCGGCGACTGTAATTGAACCGGGACCCGATGATCTCCTGTTGCGGGCTCCGGAGGGCTGTTTCGCGGTCCACGTGCTGTCGGTTGCCATGGGCCTCCGGTTCCCGCTTCACCCGTTCCTTCTCGAGTACCTTAGGTACGTGGGGTTAGCCCCCTGCCAGCTGACCCCCAACAGCCATTCTTACATAACTGGCTTCCTTCAGCTTTGCCGGGCTCGGGGGGTAACCGCGACTCTGGACTTGTTCTTTCAAAGCTTCAACCTGTGCCGAGGGGGCCACACCAACTCCGAGGGGTTCGCAAATCTGCAACAGCTCGCTCCCTGGAGGTTGTTTGATGACGTGCCCTCGTCTCACAAGGGGTGGAAGGACCGTTTCTGCTACATTAAGATGGCGGAAAATCCGTTCCCGAGGGAGCTGCGCAATCACTTCCGGCGTCACCCGAAGGTGGGGAGTGCCGCGCTTCAGAAGGAGGGGAAGAAGATTGCTGCCCTGCTGCCGGGGGCCACGAAGCACGTGACTATTAAGGATTCTACTCTCCCCGAGGATTTGTTGGCTCTTGGCTTCCGGCGATACCGTTTCTTGGGGGAAAAAGACGAGCAATACCCCGTTTTCGAAAGAGCCTTCGGCAGTATAGGAGGTAGTCTCCGAAGGGTCATATTTTTTGTACTTAGGATTTTCGTATTTCCCCATTTCCCTTCTTTTGTAGTTGACCCCTTCGGTCTGACTTTATTTGTTATTTTGCAGGCGCTAGCATGGACGTTTCCAATTTCGCCGCCCTCAAGAAAAAACTGGCCAAGGAGCCAAAGAAGAAGAAAGAGACGGGGTTTCAAAAACCCGTCGATGAATTCTTCAAGAATGATGGGGCGTCTCAAGTCCCGGAGGGGGAGGGTCCCTCCAAAGCAGTTGATTCCGGTGCTGGTGCCGGGGGCTCCAAGGGTGAGGAGCTCAAGAGGAAGAACTCTGGGAAGGGTGTCGCTCCCCCGGAGAACAAGAAGCAGAAGAAGGGGGCCCTCGGAAAAAAGGATGCCCCCATTGTGATAGTCGAGGAGCAACCATCCTCGAACCTCCCGACGGATACTCCCCCTCGTTCTCCTCCTTCTCCTGTTGATGAAGGCCTTCGGCCGGCGGAGATCGTTCAATTCCCCATCAAGTCGGGGACCTCCGTTATGCATGGCACTCTACATCCCGTTGGGTTCATGCGAGGGGTGATGTCCTCGAAGGACAGGTCTGTGCTCGCTAGGCTCGAGGATGACATCCTCGACTACAAAGTGGCCAGCTATAGCACTATGGTAAGTTGCCTTTTTTGCTTGCACTTCGTCATCGTTTAGATAGCACCCTCCGGTGTTTCGTTTTGGTGCTAAGCTTTGTCCTTATGTGTTTACTTGCAGGCTGCTTTGGCCGCTTCGGAGCAGGCCCGGAGGGTTGAGCAGTTGAGAATCGCCAAGTGCCAGGCGGATGAGGCCTTGAAGAAATCCGACGAGGAGAAGGCGGCCCTCCGAAGGAAGCTTGCCGATGCAGAGAAGGCCCTCCGGTTGGAGATCGAGGGCATGAAGCAAAGGCTGGAGGATGCTGAAGCCAAGGGGAAGGCTACCGCTGAGGAAGCCGCCGCGGCTGCCGCCAAGATTACTGCCGAAGCTGCCGAGAGTGCTAAGGCCGAAGCGGTGGCCGATGCTAAGAAGAGAGCAGTCGAGGCCTTCCTCGCCGGGGGCTGGATGGTGGCCGACCACGAGGGGTGGGTGGCCTCGGTGGTGGAGCAGAAGGTTGACTCCTGGGTGAGAGGCCCCGGTGCTGAATGGCTTGCCCGAAAGGGCAAAGACTATTATGACGGTGGTGAATTCTTCACCCAGAAGATGATCTACCGGAGGCTGGCCCGACATTTGAAAATCGACCCGAAAGAATTTGATCCGGCAGCATACGGCCTCCCCCCATTGCAGCCAGATGTCCGGGTTCCTCTGCCCGAAGGTGAAGAGAGGCCGGATCTCGAGGACTCCGAGCTTATGGGCGAGGGAGACAACGAAGAAGCCGAAGATGATGCGGCCTCCAAACCGAAAGAAGATGTCGCCCAAGAGGCAGAGGCTTAGAATTTTCCATATGTAAACATTCGTAATAGTAGGATTCGGCTTCGGCCCACTATATTTGTAAACAAACATCTTCCGTACTTGTGTATTTCGGTGATGAATGTTTTGCCTTCGGCTCTCATTTTATTGTATGAATGAATGTATGTCTTTGCTTCTCTTTCTTCCTTCGCATTTTGAATGTATGATGTTCTCCTTTGTGGACTTAGAAAAATTTCTGAGTGCGACTCCTCACAAGCCTTCGGCTGTAGTGTAGAATTACCGGGGGCTTGTCGTTGTGGACTTAGAAAATTTTCCAAGTAAAACCTGATCAGAACCCTTCGGATGTGGAGTAGAATCACCGGGGGCTTGGAAAGTTCCTTAAGTAAGATCCCAGCGTATGCCTTCGGTGGTGAGGTATTGGAATTAGCAGTGTAGCTTTAGGTCACTACCAAGTAGTTCGGGGGGCCATCGGCCGCAACCCTGTAAGTGAAGAGGGCATCCCTGTTCTCTCCTGAAGGGTCTCCAATTGTGGACTTAGTCAAATTTCCACAATATCCCAATAGTAGTTGTAGTGAACCTTCCGGTATGGGAACTGCTCTGAGCCCCCGGTACATATGGTTGCCGAGGGGTTCGAGATTATGGACTTAGTGAAATTCTGAGATGTGTTTCCAACAGATCCTGTGAGCCTGGTGACATTCTGCCTTCGGCCTGAGGCCTCCGGTTTGTGCACATATAGACTTAGTGAGGTTCTGCTTGTGAAGCTTTCGGCTATGTAGCCAGATGACTCGATGTTGAGAGATTTTCTTGTGCATTTGTAGCAGCTTTCGGCAATGTATATCCGAAGTGTTGAGCCTCCGGGGAGAATAGCATCCGGGGAGTTCCTTCCCCCCTACACATCATTTTTTTTTTTTTTTTTTTTTTTTTTTTTTTTAGATGGTGTAGGAGAGGCATCTAGAAACTTGGTTTCTAGGAAAGGCTTGGCCTATATGGGAGGCAACGGAACAAACCGTTGGCTCCCCCTTCGGGAATGACCTTCCGATATCCCGAAGGGTTTGAGGGTCGTTTCCTCGGCCCGAGACATCGTCTGTTGCCTGCTTCCCCTTGGGAGATAGCACGGAAAGCGCCTCGGTTTTGAAAGTCGTCCCCTCAGCCCGAGACACGGTCTGTTGCCTGCTTCCCCTTGGGGGATAGCGCGGGGAGCGTTTCGTTTGTGGAAGTCGAATCCTGGGCCCGGGACATGGTCCGTTGCCTGCCTCCCCTTGGGGGATGGCGCGGAAAGCGTTCCTGGGAAGGGTTTTATTTGTGTGTAGAAACACAAATAGCCGGGGGCACTTGGTACCAGCCGGAGCCGAGGGGTGTTGCACCCCCCGGGTTTTTTTTTTTTTTTTTTTTTTTTTTTTTTTTTTTTATAGGAATATGTAAAAGTTTTTGAAAACACTTGGTGTTTTCAAAGAGTGATGGGGGTGACCCATACACTTGGTACTTGGTACCTAAATTGTTGTTCCTCCTCATAAGAGGGAGTGGCCTTGGGCCTTTTATGGTGAAGAGATGAGGGCTTGGCCGCTCGCGTGTAGGAGAGAAGGGGGCCTTGGGCCGCTTGTATAATATGTAGGTGATGAAGGCTTGGCCTTTTGATTATTCTTCAAAACAGAAGGGGCCTTGGGCCATTAATATTTACACTTGCTGAGGATGAGGGCTTCACCGCTCATGCCTTATTGATAGAATTTGACAAGGTGGTGCACATTCCAATGTCTAGGGACCTCCGTCCCATTGGGGCGTTTAAGCTTGTATGTCCCTGGTTTGATGATGGCTGAGATGATGTAGGGGCCCTCAAACTTGGGAGCCATTTTTCCTCCTTCGGTGGGTAGGCTGGCTTCCCTTCGTCGGAGGACGTAGTTACCCACCTGAAATTCTCGGGAGCGAACCTTGGCGTCGATGTAGCCTTTGACTTGTCTCCTATAGTTTTCGGCCCTGAGGAAGGCTTGCTCTCGGCGTTCCGAGATGAGATGAAGGTCGAGGGCCATGTTGGCGTCGTTGACCTCGGGCTCATATTGTTCCACCCTTCGGGTCGGAAGGGTCACTTCTGTTGGAGCCTTAGCCTCAAAGCCATAGCACAGGGAGAAGGGTGTCTCGCCTGTTGCGCGCCGAGGGGTCGTGCGATAGGCCCATAAGATGTTGTGAAGTTCTTCTACCCAGCCTCCCCCTTCGGCTTCCAGCTTCTTCTTCAGCCCTTCAAGTAGGGTTCGGTTGGCGTTCTCTACTTGCCCGTTGCCCTGAGGATAGGCAACGGAAGAGAATGTGTGCTTGATGCCCCAAGCTTCAAGAAGGGCACAGAATGGGGCTGCCTCGAACTGAGTCCCGTTGTCGGAGATAATTTGTTGGGGGACGCCAAACCTTGTGAGGATATTTTTGAGGACGAAGTGACGGCACCGGGCCTCCGTGATGCTGGCGAGGGGTTCGGCCTCCACCCATTTGGTGAAGTAGTCAATGGCAACGATGATGTACCTGTTGTTGGAGGTACCCCTCGGCAGAGGGCCTACTAGGTCGATTCCCCATCTAGAGAAGGGTATAGCGGTGCTGATGGGGGCATAGTTGACCGCTGGCCTGCCGGGGGCTTTCTGAAAGTGTTGGCAAGCAGTGCACCTTCGGGCCAGATCAGCACAATCTCTAGCCATCGTGGGCCAAAAGTAGCCCTGAACTATGAGCCTTCGGGACATGGAGAAGGGTCCCTGGTGAGCTGAGCAAGTGCCACTGTGCACTTCCTCCATGGCGACTTCGGCCTCATCTTGGTGAAGGCACCGAAGGAGGGTGCCGTTGTAGGATCTTTTGTAAAGCCTCCCGTCTTCGAGGGTGTAGCTGGGAGCCCTCAGTTTTGCTAACTTGGCGCGAGCTTCGTCTTGGGGCAGTTGCCCTGTGGTGATGAAGGTGGTGATGTCGGAGATCCAATCCTCCGGTCTCAGGTGGATGTCCATGACGGGGCTCGCGTGGATGCTTGAGAGGCTAAGTTCCTCAATCCTTGCAATTTTTGAGAGGTGTTCGGGGGATTCATCCGAGAGCTTGGATAGTATGTCGGCCTCGGAGTTCTGAGCCCTCGGTATTTGGGTAAGAGAATGTGCCTCAAATACCTTAAGCAACTCCTTGGCGGCCTCCTTGTATTGCTTCATCCTTCCTTCCTTGGCCTCGTACTCCCCGGAGATTTGACCCACGACCAGTTTAGAGTCGCACTTGACGTGGATCATTCTAGCCTTCAGGTTTGCTGCTAGCCGAAGGCCACAGAGGAGGGCCTCATACTCGGCTTCGTTGTTGGAGACTTTGAAGGAGAAGCGAATGGCATAATATGCGCGGAAGCCCTCGGGTGTGATGAGAACTACTCCCCCTCCGCACGCTTTGGTGGCTGAGGAGCCATCGGTGTAGAGTGTCCACCACTCATCGAGGGGTGCCGAAGGCTCCTCACCCACTGCTGATCTCGCGGTGCACTCCGTTACGAAGTCTGCCAGGGCTTGGCCCTTGATGGCAGGCCTCGGGCGGATATCTATGTCGTATTGGCTGAGGAAGATGGCCCATTTCACCATCCGAGAGGAGCTAGTGGGACTCCTCATGAGGGCGCCGAGGGGTTGATGAGTGAGTACTTGGACCGGATGAGCTTGAAAGTAGTGACCAAGCTTCTTGACGGTCCAAACGATGGCTAGCACCGTCTTCTCGACGGGAGAGTACCTGAGTTCGGCTTCCCGGAGGGTTTTGCTGACGTAGAAGATGGCATGTTGGATGCCGTCTTCCTCTCGAATTAGTACTGAGCTGATAGCCGCGGGGCTAACACCGAGATATAAGTACAACGTCTCCCCCACCTTTGGTTTGGAGAGCACTGGGGGAGAAGAGAGGTACTTCTTGAGTTCGTCGAAGGCCTCTTGACACTCAGATGTCCATTGAAAGCCCGCCGTTTTCCTCATGATTTGGAAGAAGGGGAGGGCCCTCTCGGCTGATTTGGAGAGGAAACGGTTGAGGGCCGCAAGGCGACCCGTCAGCCGCTGAACTTCTTTGACGTTGCGTGGAGGCTCCATGTTGATGATGGCCTGAATCTTCTCGGGGTTGGCCTCAATACCCCTTCGGCTGACCATGTAGCCCAAGAACTTTCCTCCCTGCACGCCGAAGGTGCATTTCTTTGGATTTAGCCGGAGGTTGAATTTTTGCATGATGGCAAAAATCTCCCGGAGGTCGTCGGCGTGAGTGCTTGCCTCCTTACTTTTGACGATCATATCGTCAACATAAGCCTCCATGGTGCGTCCTAGGACAGCTTGAAAGACCCTAGCCACCATGCGTGTGTAGGTGGCGCCTGAATTTTTGAGGCCGAAGGCCATCACAAGATAGCAGAAGATGCCTTCGGGTGTCATGAAGGCGGTTTTTTCAGCGTCTTCCTCATGCATGTAGATTTGATGATATCCGCGGAACGCGTCGAGGAATGACATGATCTCGCATCCCGCGGTCTCATCCACAAGTTGATCAATGTTTGGCAGAGGGAAGGGATCCATAGGGCATGCCTTATTCAGATCCGTGTAATCCACGCACATGCGGAAAGTAGGAGGCTTTTGTGCGAGGACTACGTTTGCCAACCAAGAAGGGTATTTCACCTCCTTGATGTGTTTGATGGAGAGGAGCATGGATACCTCCTTCTTCACGAACTCCCTTCTCTCGGCCGAGAGGGGTCTTCTCCGTTGTTGTACTGGCTTGGCCGAAGGGTCCACCGCAAGGCGGTGGGTGATAACCCTTCGGTCAACTCCTGGCATATCCTCCGGCCCCCATGCAAAAACAATGGAGTAGGCGCGGAGAGCCTTGGTGATGCCAGCCTTCAAGTCTTCGGGGAGCTTGGCTCCAATCTTCAGGACTCTCTCCGGCTTGGCCGGATCGAGTAAGAAATCTTCGGTCTCCTCGGCAGGTTCAGCCCTCGGCCTACCTTCTTCTTCCTCCAGGGCCTTGGCGGTGATGGTGTCAACACGTAACTCTGTTTTACTAACCTTCTTGGTGAGCTGAAGGTAGCAGGCCCTGGAGAGTTTCTGGTTCCCCCTCGAATAGCCGATGCCGGTGGGCGTGGGGAACTTGAGGCAGAGGTGCCTCATGGAGATGACGGCCTCCAAATCCTCGA